GCCGGCTCAGGCGTGCTCCCGGCTCAGGCGTGCCCCCGGCTCAGGCGTGCCCCGGCTCAGGTGTGCTCCGGGCTCGGTGTGCTCCCGGCTCGGGCATGCTTCTGGCTCGGGCGACAGCCCACGGGGAACAAGGCAGATGAGCAGCACTCAGCAATGTAAACAGGCTCAGAACGTGGGCACCTTTCGGGGTCTCTTTGCGGATTGTGAACGCAGGCTGAGAGCAGTGCCCCTGCGGAGGCTCTGGTCACTGCGCTGGAAGTGCCCCCAGGGGTCTCCTGACCTTTCGTGGTCCCCGGCTTGGCACCTCGCCCACTGACACCTGCTGGCCGGGGCGGGTGGCCGGCAACGGCAGGACCGGGGCTGCGTGCGCCCGGCTTGCCCAGGGGACCACGGCGTGCCCTCCAGACCCAGCCGTCCTGGCCATAATTTAAACGCAGCGGTTTTGGGTAGAGAAATGGGCGTTGATTTGTCTTCCTTTAATTAAACTCTGATTGAGGGTTTTTCGGTAGGGAGCTGTATCTGCTTAACGAGCATGCGGCAGTCTGGAACTGACGCCAGGGCTCTGCTGGTGCACCTGGCTCTCCCTTCCCCACTGTGGGGGGCCATCGGGGCTCCACCTGGCCCCACCCGGCCCTCTCAAGGAGCCAGCGCTCCTGAGTGGCCAGACGGCTGTTCAGTAGGACCCAGTGGCTCTGCTGTTTCCATTTTCCAGCTACATCCTGGAATCAGCACTCCCGGGGGAAGGCAGCCGCGCCTCGCTGCAGACCCTCGTGCCTCAAGGGCCGGGCCCACTGCGCCCCCGTGGCGTGTTCTGAGGTGGAGTTGGGGTTTCCTCTTTCAGATGTGTCTTGCATGGGGCCCAAAAGAGTTTCTAGATGGTGCCTGTGTTGCTTTGGGTATTTAAAAACGTCAAGAGCTCTTTCCCGTATGAACAAAGTTGCATGCTTTGTTTGTAATTCAGTGTTGATCAAGAAGAATCTTTTCATTATTTACCAGTGATACTTGAAAGTGATTCATCGCGAGTCTTTTGGGTTTTCTGTTTCTGGGGTGAAAACAGCCGAAGACCTGCTTGGCGGGCTGGGGGTGTGGGGAGCGGAGAATGGAGCAAAACGTCATTTGGTTTCTTATTTGTAAATGAGGTAGGGAAGAGATTTGACCCAAATGAGGCCATTTAAATTTTCATTTAACATGAAAACATGTTCTTACCAGTTTCCCATTATTTCTCTCTTCTCAAGTGTGAGCATTAAAAATACACGTGTGGGGATGGAGCCTGGAGGGGCTGAGGAGGCAGCATCCTGGTTCCCTGCCCTGCCCGGGGAGGAGCGGCCTAGACTGGCTCCTTCTTGAAGCCAAATTGTCTTTTTCATCTTGTTTTAGGGTGTTCTGAGGAGGACATTTACATTTGAAGAGTAAAGCCACCGAGTAGGTTAATTGTGAGACCTGCCCGTGTAGGAAATCGTGTCCTAAGCGTGGGACTCAAGCGTAGTTGTTTAAAAAAAAAAGGAAACGTTAGAAAACACCAAGGGACCTCACGCGGTGTGGGGCTTCCCCGTCCTGCTGTTCCCGAAGAGCAAGGTGGAGCAAGGTGGAGCAGGCCAGGCTGCCCACTGATCACCTCTGGGGAAGGCCAGGGCGCTGAGGGCCAGAGCCCACCCCACTGCGGCTCCCCCCATCATGGCCCCCTCGCTGTGGCTCCCCCCACGGTGGCTCCGTCCATCATGCGCCCCCACGCTGGCTCCCCCAACCATGGTTCCCCCTAGTGGGCTCCCCCCACCGGGGCCCCCACCATGGCTCCTCCCACCATGCCCCCCCATGGAGGCTCCCCCTAGTGTGGCTCCCCCCACCGTGGCCCCCCCCAACCGTGGCTTCCCCTAGTGTGGCTCCTCCACCGTGGCTCCTCCCACCATGCCCTCTAGGGTGGCTCCCCCAACCGTGGCTCCCCCTAGTGTGGCTCCCCCCACCATGGCTTCCAGCTTCCCCCTAGCTTAGCGGCCAGAGCCTGCACTCCTAGGACTAAACCAGCCCAGCTGCCTGCCCCACTCACACTTCTGGAGGTCGGGGCTGAACTGAGGCGGGACTGAGGTGGGGTGTCAGCTCGTCCCAGACGCCTTCTGGAAGAATTCCTGTCTCGCCTTTCCCTGTTTCTAAAGGCAGCTGGGCCTCCGCGGCCTGAGTCCCTCCCGCTCTCGGGCCAGCAGGCAGCCGGCGTTCCTCAGCCGGGCCTCTACCCAGGCCTCCCGGCCGGCCTGGCCCTGCCACGTCAGGCCCCGAGACCACCCAGAGGTGGCCAGCTGTCGGGAGGAGCCCGGCCTGACCTCCTCCCCACAGAGCAAGGGTGGAACTTTCAAGAGACTCCTGGCAAAATAATGGAGGAGAGATCCGGAAAATGATATATGTGAAGCTTCAAAGTCTGTTTTTACTATTTCAAAGCATTCACTGTTCTTTCGAGTTGATGGTTTTAAACTACATGGCAAGAGACGCAGGAAAGCGGCCGTCCCTACAGGCCCGAGCTGCTCAGCTGGTCTGGGGGTGCCTGGGCTCTCCGCCTCCTCTCTCCCTCCAGGAATTGGGGGGCGCTGCCTCAACCCTTTAAGCTCGGGTCGTTGGTGAGTTGATGGCATTTTCCCTGTGACCCACAGAAGCGCTTTCTGACTCACTCTGCAGAGGGGCGTCCCCCCCGCCCGTGGCGGGGGTGCCGGGCTGCCCCCCCACCCCCTCTGGTCAGGTCCCCGCTCAGGGTGGCGCTTGGCTTCCGCTCAGGGCCTCTGAGTGCGGAGGCCGCGCAGCAGTGGGCTTCCCTTCCTGCCCCCGGGACCGGTCTCTGCTCTGTCACCTGGTCGCGTCTCTCGTGAGCATCTGCCACTGCTGTGGCCCAGCAAGGAGGCTTCCCTGGGAGGTGCCGATTTTCTTATTTACTCATTTGATTTTATTTATTTTTTACATCATTCTTCACTGTGTGCCCTTTCCATCTTGGTTGTGATCCCCATGGACTCCCCACCGCCACGTCACCCTGCGCGGTCCCATATTCCCGCGCGTTCTTCCCGTTTGATCCTCCTCCCCTCCCCATCCCCGTAGAATGTCCCTGGGTCATAGTTGTTCATTGTTTTTTGTTTTTACTTTATTACAATTACAATTGCTTTTTTTTTTTTCCTGATCCCTTACAGTCCTGCTATGAGTAAAAAGCCATCTGGTATTTTTTTCTTTCTGGCTTATTATGAAGCATGATCCCTCCCAGCTCCATCCATGTTGCTGTAAATGGCATGAGTAAATTTTTTTGATCTCTGAGTAATATTCCATTGTGTATATGGACCACATCTTTTTAATCCAGTGCTCCTACTTTCGGGCATTTGGGTTGATTCCATGTCTTTCCCACTGTAAATAAAGCAGCAATAAGCATGGGGGTGCCGGTGTTTTTTTTTTTTTTGGCTAATTTAAAAATTATTTTTATTATTTTTAATATAATAGTTTATTTTTACATCATTTTGTGCCTTTTTCCGTCTCAGTTATATCCCCGTGGGCTTCCCACACAAATTTTGTGTGCGAAAATTTTCTCCCAATCAGTGAGGTGTCTCTTTGCTTTGTGTAATGTCTCTTTTGCTGTACAGAATCTCCTTAACTTGTAGTCCCGGCTGTTTAACCTTCCTTCACCATCCTTGCTTTGGGTGATGTCTCCTTAAAGGTGTTACTGAGGTGTATGTCGCATAGTGTTTCTCCAACCTTTTCTTCTAGATACACATTATTTTAAAAGAACAGATAGAAACTGCAGTTTCTGCATGTCCGTGTTCTCATCTGTGACATGGGGACATAATGTCCCCTCTGCCGCGGGGCTAAAGTGGGCTATAGGCGGGCTGTAGGTGACCGTGTGGAGGAATAGCTGGCAGGGCGCCTGGAGCATGGTGACCGTGTCATAAATCTCAGCTCCTCTGTTACGGAACTGACGTAGCCTTTCCTGGGCCCCTAGAATGCAGCGGTAGCTGCCTCTGCTTCTGGAAGCTTCTCTTTGGTAAGCAGGTGTAGTTGTCAAGACCGAGGTGTCCTCAGGTTGCGAAAACACTGGGCCACGAGGTGAGACCCTCGCGTCACACAGGGGGATCCGTATGTGGCCTGAGGTCACAGCCCAGCCCTTCCAGCTGTTGGTGCGCTCAGAGTAACACCCTCGAGAAGCCCCCAGGCTGATTTGGAAGAGCTGGTGCCCAGGCACATCTTGTGGCCACTGGCCCAGAGTCCAGTGAGACACAGGACAGGGGTCGGTGGTTGGGCTTGAGTCTGAGACTTTACCACATTGTGGCATCTGAGAAACCGAGGCAGAAGGAGCCTCAGGGGCCGCCCACCGCCTCTAGCGCCTAGAAAGCCTGTAGTTCAAGGCCAGCACCCCCGGGACACCACCCCGCCCTGGCTGCGTGTCCAGGTAGTGCCCGCTTGGCCTCCTCGCTGGGCGCCAGTCCCTTCTAGGGCCGTGAGTGTGGGATCCCCGTTCTGTTCAGCCTCTGCCAGCCCAGACATGACTGTCGTCAGGCAGAAAGTGAGCATGATCCAAGGTGAGGCTGGGGTCCCACAGGAGGCCAGTGGGGGAGCCCAGTCAGGGTGTGGCCCAGCCCTGCCGCCTCCAGCTGAGGAGGGGCCAGGTTTGCCCGCCCACCAGGGGCCGGCCTGGGCAGCAGTGCAGCCTGGCTGAGCCATCTGGCGGCTGGGTGGGTGGGTGGGGTGCAGGGGCTGGGCAGGCTCTCTGGCCCCAGCTGGCCTGGACTCTAGGACAAGTGCTGTGGGCGGTGCCGAGAACCAACCCGAGTAGGAAGCCATGACGTGGACAGCCCGGCCGAGGGTTCCTGTTAAACTTCCTGAGCTGCTTCGATACAGCTGGGAGCCGGAGCAGATCCAGCATCGGGGAGTGCAGTGCCCTTCTCGGGGGGCTGCGATGCTATGAAAGCCGGATTATCACTCCTGCAGAGAGCGGTCCACAGCCGAGCTGACAGAACACGCTCTTGGGGTGAGCAGTGTTCCACAACTCGTCAACAGTCACTCAGCCAGCTGGGACCGGGTGGAGAGAGGAAACATCCGCTCCTGTCATCGGGGGCACGTCACCCTTTTCGTCACCGTCACTGTGCCAGCTGAGGAAGGTCTCTGGGTGACCCAGGCCGCGGTCCAGCTCCAGATCAGTCACTGGACCTCAGCAGCTTCTGTGTCCCCTTGTGAAATGGTCACAGAGTGCCCAGGGCTTCTGGTGTGCGGGCGGCTGGGGCAGGTGTGGGAGAGGGTTTGGTCCGTGCACGGGGCTGGCAGGCGTTGGGGTCCCGAAGGACAGGGGAGCTGCTGTGCGGGATTCCTGAACACTGGAGGTGCATGGAAGTGGGAGGGGCTGACGCCACAGACGCCTCACCGGCCCCCACCTCTTCTTACTCTGCTTTCTCTACGGTGCCCGCACCCACTGTGCAGAAAGGGGACCCCGGTGGGCGGCCCCTCGGGACTGGCAGGACCGTTTCGGAAGCCTGGTGAGGATGTAGACGCAGCCCAGCCACAGGCGGCCGGCGAGCCTCGGGACGGGGTGCTGCCTGCGTGTGCTGGACGCTCGGGGTCCCCCACTCTGCGGGGCTCCTGTGAAACGCGAGGCATCCGCCTCGCGCCTGTGGCCTCGTCACTGAGGTGTGTGCACAGGGCCACGTTGGGGGCCGACTGTGACGGCAGGGTCAGCGTTGACAGGATGGTGGCGGTGGCCGCGCCCTGCGGCTGCGGCTGTGCAGCACTGGCGACACCCCTGGGCTGTGATGGGGTGGCCGAGGGCGGAGCCCCGCGTGGCCGCTGCTGCAGGGGCGCTGTGTGACCTCTCTGTCGCCCTCCCGCAGGTCACGGAGGAGGAGCCCAGCTCCAACCACACGGTCATGATCCAGGAGACCCTCCAGCAGGCCTCCGTGGAGCTGGGGGAGCGGCACCACCTCGTGGTGTCCTCCGACGGCGTGGAGGGCATCGAGACGCTGACCGTGTACACGCAGGGCGGGGAGGCCTCGGAGTTCATCGTCTACGTGCAGGAGGCCATGCCGCCCGTGGACGAGCAGGCCCTGGCGCAGCCGGCCCCGGACCTCTAGGGCACCCAGCGTGGGCGGGGGCCGCGGCCAGGCGGGGCTCCAGGACGCGGGCGCAGGCCAGGGAGGCCGCGGAAGGCGGCACACGCGGCGCTGGGGCTGGCTGGGGTCGCCTGGCCTGCCCGGTGGCCAGCTGCGGTGTGTGCCCGCCTCGGGGCCCTGGCCAGCCGCCTCACCCCGTCGCTCATGGTTTGAGAAGACTGGCGCCAAGTCCCGGACGTGGCCTCGCCACGTCGCCCTTCGCTTCCGATGCAAACAGACACCCCCGGCCCGCAGCCGCTCCCTGGCCCCTCCGCCCCACTTCTCGACCCCTCTCGGCATTAGCAACCCCCCAGCCTGGGGGCAGAGATGTCCACTCGCCAACGAGCAAGGGTCCTTGGCTCTGAATCACCTCTGGGAGGTGCACAGGGGGCTTCTGCTTCACCTGCCAGGGCCTCCGCTCCTCATGTATTGGGGGACCTCGCCATCCTGGGAGCCACCCCGATCTGACCCTGGTTGGGTGGCCCTGCCACGCTGCGGTGGGTCTCGCCACCTGCTTGCAGTCTGCTTATACACGAGCGCGCTTTCCACTACTCATCTCCCACAGGCCGTGAGCAGTGGAACCGCTCTGCCTGGCACCTGCCCAAAGCCCAGTCACGGCTCCAGACCCCCCCGAACCGCTGCCGCCCCTGGCCTCAGAGCTGTCCGGGACGGCCCTCGGGGCTGATGCCCCCGTCATTCCTAGTGCCCAGGTTGCTTGCTCCCTGCCCGCCCCGACCCAGCGGTCGCCGCCACCCTGCGTGTGCCCGGCAGCGCTGCACGCCAGTGGCCGAGGCTTCTGCAAGCACCCGATGTGATTCAGGCTTTGTCCCTGCCCCGGTGACAGTCCTGAGCCTCTGGAGTCCCTGCTCCGCACGCCAGGGCCCCGGTGTCCCCTGCTCTGTCTGAGGCTGTGACCTCGGCACCCCATCGAGCCTGGGGGATCGGGGTTTATTTCCTGGACGCCCCTCCCTTCAGTCCCGTTTTCACACAGCCACAGCTGCTCTGCTGAAGGGCCGGCACCCACAGCCTTTGCACGGGGCCTCGGGGCCCTGGTTCCCGCTCACCCAGGACGGAGCTTCCCACCTGCTTGCTGACTGCAGAGCAGGGCAGGGGCCCATTCAGCCAGGTGGGCTTTGCGCTTGCGGGGCCGGGAGGCGGGGGTGGGGGGAGCTCCAAAGAGAGCGACGTGGCCCTGCCCCTGGTGGGCTCCATGGAGTGGCCCGTGGGCCGTGAATAGTCCTGGGCAGCGCTGAGGGGCGGAGCAGAGCGCAGCCAGCAGCCAGCATCGAGGCTGGGGCTGAGGGCGTTGAGTTTGCTGAGAAGCTGGGTGCAGGGGCGAGAGTCTCTCCCAGAGGGCCGTGCTGTTGCTGTGTTGAGGGGTTGAACGTCCCTGCGGGAGGCAGAGAACCTGGTGGAAGCCGCCGTCACTGCTACCCGAGTCCCCGCGCGTCACTCTGCTGGCTGAGTTTGGTTTCCTCTCTCTGAACCGACTCTGACCGTAGTTGCTGGCTCCTGAGGTGACAGACGCCCAGGAGTCCCTGCACACCTGGCCCGCTCCAAGTGACCGTTACTTGCCCCCAGGCACAGGCGTGGGTGGCCACGGGCAGCCCCCCGCCGGTGGAAGAGCCTGACGTGAGCGCACAGCGGGAATTCAGTGCCGCCGAGGCTGGGCGCAGAACGCGGGGCTGGCCCAGGCTGCGGCCTGCAGGCCTGTCACCTCGAGAACCACCTGGTGATTCCAGAGGCTGAGGGCCTGCGCGGCTGAGGGAGCCCCGAGGTCCCTGTGCGCATTCTCGCTTCCCGGGGCCCTGCGGGAGGAACGCTCCAGGCGCCAGGCCTTGGCTCGGGAAGGAGGCGAGTGATGGCGGGATCCTACCCTGCTGGCTCCCCGGAGGAAGCATCAGTTTCGCCTATAAAATGGGGTCATTAATTCCTCCCCATCTGCCTAGTTTATGTGACGGCTCTACCCCAATAGCAAGTGTGTAATGAAGCACCCAGTACATGTGTGTTGCACATAGTAGGAACACAATAAATATTTATTTTCCTTCCCGTTGTTCGGGTGACTTCCGCGTCGAGTCCCAAGGGCAGCGAGACGCACGCTGCCCCGCCTCAGCCCCGCAGCTCCCCTGCCTTCGCGCCCCCGTGTGCCCTCACCACCCCTGACCGGCGGCCAGGCACCGGCCCAGGGACTGAGAGTGTAGCTTACCTCGGTCCCAAGGCCTCGGGGAACTCACGGTGCAGTCAGAGGGCAGCGGGGCATGGGGAGGAGGTGGGGGTCGGGGGGCAGGTGGGGGGCAGCAGACTGGCAGAGGCCGCGTGAGAGAGCAGGGCCAGGAGTGCCGGGCGCCATGGACAGGCAACAGACACACAGCCTACGTGGTTTTGCATTTTGAGGGAGATGGCTACTCATTTCATAACCAAGTTAGCTAGTTTTTCTTGTAACGAGTATTTGAGATTCAGTAGTTGTTGTCACCAAAGCTTTTTCCCCTCTGTCTTCATCTCTAGCTTTTTTTTTTTTTTTTTAGATTTATTTATTTATACATGCAGAACTGGGGTACAGGCCACAGGTGCAGGAGCTGTGAGAGGCTTCACCAGAGACAGAGCGGGGAGCAGAACGGGCAGATCAACAAAGCACACTGCTGAGGGGAGCAGCGGGCGGGTCAGGAGAGTCTGCCGGGCCATGTGGGTCAGCTCTGGGGGTGGGAGTGGGGATCGAACTTGCACCTAGGCGGCTGCAGCCAGCTTCACAGTGCTGCTCTTTAACTGGTTGCGCCACCAGGGAGCGGCCAGCGCTAGCTGTCAAGCCTGGCCTGAAAAGAGCTGAGAACTCTGCCCCCGCCCCCACCCTCGGCCCTTAATAGGTCTCAAAGCCGACTGTCCACCTTGCCCCTGGAAGCTGTCCAGGCTTGCTCCCGCTCCGCTCAGCGGGAGCAGTTTGAAGTGGCATCGGGAAGTCTTTGGGAATCATTTAAGTAGAGGAACGCTTGGCTGGGAGGGGAACCGCGCTGGAGGGGAGGCTTAATTTACCACGCATCACAGGGTTCCCTAAGTAAATTATTTTCAAGTCAACTCAGCCCTTCCCTTAGCCACGACAGCGCCGTGTTTGAGTCTGATTTAAGAATTCCTAATCTATCACTGTCACCATTCTTGCCGCAATTTAAGGCTTCAGTGGTTCGTGGTAGATAACAGTTGTTAAACTTCCTGCAGGCTGGGAAGGCAGCAATGGTTTGCTCTATTAACTATCATGAAAAAGATAAAGGGGGAGCAGAAGGGCCTGTGTGGGGTCAGCGGCCTCTGTGGTGCTGACTCCGCCCCCTCCCAGCCTGTACCTCCCTCCTGGGCCTCCCCCAAACCAGACCTGTGGGCCCAGATGGCGGCCCCCACCACCGGAGGGCTCCTGAGGACCAGGAGAGGGTAACAGGCATGGACAGTGGCAGAGCCACGGGTACCAGACGCACCAGCCTCGGAGGACGCCCCCCTGGGCCTGGAGTGAGAGTGCTCCGCTGGCTTCCAACTCCTGTAGGCTGGAACATGTTATACAAGTTATAAGTCTCCCCAGTAAGTCCAGGGTTTTTCAAAACCTCTGTCAACACGTTGGCAACATCTGAGCCTTTGCTATGCCTGAGGTCAGAAGCCAGGGGGGGACCAGGGGTTTGCAGCACCCTAGCCAGATGTCACGCATTGTCTGCCTCTCGCCTTTTCCACCCCTGCCAGGGAGGTGAGGTCGGCACTGTCCTCACTGAGTTACAGTCACACGTGACGTAACGATGGGCATGCGTCCGACGGACAGCGTTCTGGGGTGATTTTGTCCTTAGGCAGCACATTAGCAATGGGTTTTGTACACTTATGGCCTTGATGAACAAAGTAACATGAGATTATGCTAAGAAAACAATGGACCAAGAGATGGGGTGACACGAAATGGGAGAAGCCCCACTGCCTAAGAACTGCCGCATGCCTGGGCTTGGGCCCCCAGCCCGCATGTGGTCTGAATGCACACACACCCTGTGGACCAGCCCGCCGCACTGACCAGATGACGCCATGGCCAAGTGGGACCTGTCCCTGGGAGGCCACAGGGATTCAGCATGCACCAATCAGCGTGATGCCCCTTCACAGAACCAGAGAGCCTCTCAGTAACGTAAAAACACTGAGAAACTCAACGTCCACTCGTGAAAAAGACTTCTATTAAAGTAGGTACAGAAAGAACTTACCCCAACACAGTAAGGACTATGTGTGAAAATCCCACAATGAGCCTCCTCCTCAGTAGGGAGAGTGAAAGGTTTTTCTCTTAGGATGCCGTCAAAGGCAAGGGCGTCAACTCACACTAGTTGTATATTGGAAGTTCTAACCGGACAAGTGGAGACAAGAAAAAGAAAAGAGGTCTAATTGGAAAAGAAGAGAGAAAATTATCTGTATTTTCAGATGATATGATCATATAAATATAGAAGACTTGGATGACTAAAGAAAACCTGTCAAAAACTAATAAATGCATTTAGGTAAAGTTACAACACACACACACACACACACGGCATTTCTATAACTTTGAAAAGGAAACTCAGAAAAAAATCTCATTTACAGTAGCAACAAATACAAAAGCCCTTAGGAATAGACTTAACCAAAGAGCTGAAAAAAAAAAAAAAACACTAAAAATTACAAAACATTGAAGGACGTTAAAGAAAACAGACAAATGGTAAGGCCCAATGTTCAAGGGTTAGAAGAACCAATATTGTTAAATTGTCTATACCATCTAAAGTCACCTACGATTCAGTGCAATCCACATTAAAATCTAATGGAAGAAATAGAGAAAAGAAGCACTGGATGCTTATATGGGGTAACAAAGACCCTAATTAGACAAAGTAATCTTGAGTAGGAAAAACAAACACACTGATGTAGAGATGGAAATTCCTGATTTCGAGAGCTCACAAACATATAGTAATCAAAATGGTATGGCACAGGCAGAAGAGCAGACCTAGAGATCAGTGGGCCGGAATAGAGAGCTGTACACAGCAGAGAGGAACAAACACACACGGCTACAGTCAGCTTATCTTCAACCGGTGAACAAGAACAGTTTAGGGAAATTGGATTTCACATGAAGAATGAAACTGGATACTCAACTCACTCCAACAAAAATAAAAATGGATTAGATGTTTAGACCTAAGGTCTGAAACTATAAAACAACCAGAAGAGAAGCATCGTGGCTATGATTTTTTAGATATGACATTAAAAGCACAGGCAGCAAAAGCAAAAGCAGATACGCAGAATTCCATCAACAAAAATACTCCATAGCAAAGGAAATAATTCAGATTGAAAAGGCAGTCAATGGAATGAAAGGTGGTATTTGCCAACCACGCATCTGGTAATGGGGTTATATCCAGAATAATTAAGGAACACAATAGCAAAGTAAGTAATCCAATTTATTCATTTATTTATTAAGATTTATTTATTTATGCATACAAGAGCTGGGGAACAGGCCAGATGTGTGGGGGTGAGAAGATTCACCAGAGGCAGAGTGGGGAGCAGAGCAGATAGATCTACTGGAACACACTGCTGAAGGGAGTAGTAAGCAGGTCAGCAGTATTTTTGTTGATGAAATTCTGTTCATCTTTGCTGTGCTATGTGGGTCACCTCCCTGGCAGGGGTTTGAACTTGTGCTGCAGTGGCTGCAGATAGCTTCATAGTGCTGTGCTTTTACCACCATTGTACCACAAGGGAGGGCACAGTAACCCAATTTAAACATGACAAAGGACCTGAAAAAATATTTCTCAATGAAGACACACAAAGTAAATGTGCTCATGGTCACTTCTTACTAGGAAATGCAAAGCAAAATCTTAATGAGATATTATCTCAGGGCTGTAGAAAGACTTGTCATAAAGACAAAAGATACCAAGGACTGATGAGGATGCAGAGAAAAGGGACCCTTGTTTGCTGTGGGTGGGAACGTAACTTGGTGCAACCATTTTGGAAAACAGTGGAGAGGCTCCTCAAAAAGTTAAAAATGCAACTATTATGTGATCAGCAACTCGTGTGGGATCCACAGCTAAGGGGAAGGATGTCTGAGTTTTGAAGAGCTATATCAGTGCATCCATGTCTATTGCAGCATTAGTTCAATAACTGAGCTCGG